AGAAAATTACTTGTTTTCCCTTCAAAAACAGAATGAGAATTTTTCTGAGTTGACTAGCAATCTAATATCCAATAGAAGATTGGATAACAAACTACTTAACACAGATGGCGTTTCCCCTCAAAACAGCTTTCTTTTTTTTTTTTAGTGGTATATTACAATAAGAAAACAGCACCCTTGAAGCAGTCATTGTAAGAAATCATGATCTGTCTTGCAAAAATTCTTAACAGTACTTTAATATTTTGACATCAAAATCTGGAGAGAAACTACTTTATGCTCTGTTCCTCTGCATTACTGGTCCATGCTGGAAAAGCACAATCTTCATTGTGATAAGCACTGAAAGGGGAAACCTCTTGAGTAAAGGTCCAAACAGTCAACTGACCACTGACGACCTGGTTTTGCAATTAAATTAGTCCAGCTCAGTGATGTGCCTTTAGAGCGTTTGATATGTTCTTAATATTCATTTTCAGGACATTAAAACTGAGCCAACTGAAGCACACCAAACAAAGCAAAAAGTTTTTGCCACTATTTCATTTCTTTTTCCAAAACTAATTATCCAGACAGATCTATAATAGATGTTAACTTCTGTGGACTAACTTCACTATTCAGTTTACTCTGACTTTTTTCTCTTTGAAGAGATGTAAATCTACTTCTTATAATTGTTTCTTATGTTGACATCACTGAACAATTCTTTAACTAAAACACAAGCATATGTAGCAAGTCATCTAAAGCATAGATAATTTTACTCATTTTTGCAAGCGCATGCTCAGTGTTAGAGGATGCACTGTCTAATTGCAATGATAAGACAATATCACTTTAATTGGACAATTATAAAGGGTCTTTTAGAGTTAAATGCATAACTAATCTACTAGGTTACTCATGTTAGATTACAGTTCCTAAAGCATTAAGTGAGTCAAGTTGTAGTCACTTCCTTCTGTTCTGAGCTACCTTTAAATTGCACTAAGAATGTGCACAAATCTCTTCCTAGTTCATCTACCAAAACCCATAGTGGACTAGCCTCCAATGACTTTTCCTCCAATGGAATGTGCTTTAAAATATTTAAAAATACATACTACTTTTCTTTCCAGAACAGAATGTTCACTCTATCATCAAATAAATGAAAACAAAATTCAATAGTGAAAAGCATTTGAGTTATAACTAAATTTGCAACTCTCATCAAGAGATTTTCAGATGAAGAAACAACAATGTATAGGAATTATTCATTCTGCACATCAGATAGAAGTACACAGACATCCACCCAACTGTCTTAGGCTTCAATTCAATCATCCCTCATATTGAATACCCATTTTTATCTACCCATTTTACTAAGGCATTTGTATGCTCACAGGCACACTGTTTGAAGACTGACAACATTCAGTATTTACTATCTATTTTTTTAAACTTCATTAAGCAAACACAAAAGCTTCAGAAAAAAAGCTAATGCAGAAGACATGAACCAATACAGAACTGAGCACTTCACTACACTCTGGAAGAAAGTGTTCTTTACTGGATTTCATTAAGAAGAAAAACAATTGCATGGTCAAATACATAATTTTCACAGTAATTCAATGCATGTGTTCATATTATTTTGCTTAAGAGAAAGATCTCCATGTACACTAAAATAAGATTTAAAAAGGATTTTAAAAAATGAAGTAGCACTTTAGCAATACACATCAAAATTAAGACCAGACCTGACAACTAGGTTAAACTGACATTGACCAAATCAAAACAAGTCCAGCACAGAAGTGGAACTATTAATGAGTTAAAAAGATATAAGCTACAAGTCCACCAGATAAAGATAACACACAAATACAATGGAAAAAGACCCCAAAACAACTTAAGAGTTCTGGGGTTTTTAAAGATAAATGTATTACAAGACTTGAGAAAACAAAAAAGAAAAAACAAACAAAAAAGCCCCACTGAAATGATTTCACTTGTGCAATGAACAAAATAGTGCTGTAGAAGTTTAAATTTCTACCAATTCTCTGTGTCCCCAATAATAACTTATATTAGTGTCACATGCAAATGTACTTTGAGACCCAGTTAGACAAACACTAGGCTGAGAGGCATGAAAACATCAGGACTTTTGTCCTGATCTACTTTTTACCCCAACTTTGTTAATTCAATTGAGATTTAAAAATCATATATACTAGCCTTAAATTCATCACAGGGTTAAGGATGCAAATGCCATAAAAAGCAATACTGAATCTCTTTCAATCTCTTAATCTCTTACCTAATCCCATTACTTGGTTAGGCTAGTAAAACTGTAGGCCTTCATGAGCTTTCAAATAAAGTTTGTATCAAAAGGAATTTCATACTTAAATACCTTGTGATACTGACCTACCCTATGTGACAATTCCTTTTTATTGAACTACTTTATTCCAGTCAGGTTATTTCTTCTTTTCGCATGAAAGTAAGAGCACATTGCTTCATTTTAAAGAAAAACAAAGGCAACATCACTGTTGATTCAGTTGTAAAAGACAAATTTCAGGTTTCAGCAAAGCAATACCATAAAATATTTTAAAGCTCTTAAAGCTGCACTGCTTTAACTGGGACGTTTAATTCTTGCATGTTATTTTCACATGATAACTAAAACAGAGAGAGCACTTGACAATGCACTCTTCACACATGCTTCAGTAGCTGCACGGCAGAAATCAATAGGTTTTTGTTTTCTTACAAGTCACAGGCATTTGCTTCCCTTCACTCAAACAGTGCTTAAGGAAAAACAGCTCCCCACCTCTCCACCACAGAACAGTCAATCTGCTGCAATTATTGTAGTCCTGTTTGATTCATTAGGTGCCCAGGTACATGAAAATCTTTAACAGTCATCAGATTATAGCAGAGAATGAAATGAAAATACTGAATCATGATGTTTACTAGCAAGCATCACTAACTACAAAACTATCCAAACATCATAAATACATGGTGAAGTATTTCTCTCTAATAAGAACTCTAAATATAGCACACATCTCTGCTATGATAACTTTTATCCCTTTTTAATAACCTAAATAAAACTTGTGTCAGGTAATCAGTCCAAAGAGACGGTTACTAGAATAAACTCCACTTCCTTAAGTATGCATTTCTAATGGCAAAAGTCTTGCAAGGAGCAGGTGGACCAGGACGAACATGTGAAGAAAGGGAAAGAAATTAAAGTACACTGCTTTGACTAAATCGCAAATGCTACACCTTTATCTGACTTACACAGTTGTAATTTTATTCAGAAATGTTACCCTAGTGAGCATGAAAGCACTATACAGGCAAATTCTACCTGCTGTAAGTACATTGGTTCAAAAATGTAAGTTAAGTATCTATTGTAATGAATTTCAAGGGCTCTAGTAGTAGCTCAATTATCTACAAAAAATACAATATGAAATGTCAACTTCTATGTGTAAATAGGTCATTTTAATCATGTTTAAATTCAGTACTTAAATTACAATAGCACAGAGGAAAACTTAAGTCAAATGCAGACAATTTCTTAGATTTTGAAAGCAAACAACACAATTGTAATTACTTTTCTTGTTAAAAGAAACATGAGAACTGTTGAGATTTTTTACAGGGAAGACAAATATAAGATGTGAAAGAGAATAAAAGAAAAAACATATTTAAATGAACACACTTATAAGGTATATACTGAAAACAGAACAGATTAGAGTCCGAAGAACCAATATTAAATTTCCAAGGAGCAAAATGGCTTTATTTAATGACTGCAAACAGTCCTCCCCTTTCCTTGCACTGCTTGTAAATGATGTGCCAAAGGTGAGCACAGATGAGATGTGCTTCTTAAAAAACCTGGTTTGAGACTTAAAGGTTCTGATTCATTCTAACACTGCTAACACAGTGAAGATTTAGGCTTCATTCAGCTTTGGATCAGAGGCTGGGGTACTGCTCCTTTTCTCACACCTCAGTGCAGTAGTACCAGCACTTGACTTTGTCCCTTATGCCTAGCACAGCTCTCCTCACAGCTCTACCAGGTGCCACTCCCCCTAGCCACACCTTTCACTATCATTCCTTCCTGATGAAAATTGCATCTCTCTGCACTTACTTTCTGGCACTGCTGTGCCAATCTACTGCTAATCTCTTCTCATACCAGTTGAGCTTCCTCTTGGTTTCGTGCTGTAACTTAGAAGGAATATACTGACATTATCTCTACTACTTCCCTGCTTCAGAAAGTAAAATTTAATATCTTTTAAAATGGTCCCTACCAAATCCTACCACACTCCATTTGAAATGCAAATATTCTAGAGGAAACTACCAGCCATCTATTTTTAGAAAATCCTTCTGCTGCTTCTAACAAAGACTTTTAGATCTGCAGTCCCAGATTCCAATACCCGTGAAACCTAATGTGAAAGCCAAAAATCATCCATTTAAAAATTTCTCAGAAGTAAAATCCTGCACACTTTTGACTCTCTGAAATCTAAAAAGCCTATTTGGAGATAGAACTGTACCTTACAAATAATTAACAGCTAACATCAATAGTGAGAGATCGCTGTTGGGTACAATGTACTTACTTAGTAAGAAATAAGCTTTTATCCTAAAAGCTTGCAATTAAGCTTATTAAAAGTGACACAAAGAGATGAGAAAAAGACAAGATAATAATACATGAATTATTATTAGCATAAGGAAGAGTCATAGCATGCCATTTGCCTAGTCATTCCAATGACTTAGCACAGTCAAGCTGTTTTTTTAAAAGGCATCTGAAAATGAAAATGTAAGTGACTTTTCAGACTTATGCAGGTCTTTCCCTTTTCATGTCAAGGGCAGCAGAAGAAAGTATGAAAGCTTTTCAGGGGAAACTAGAACAAAGACGTGTGACAACACTGGCAGGCCTAAAACCAATAAATTGAAAGCTCAAAACCTATTAACAGAGACAACTAGATTTTGTTCTATGATGTAAGAGTCTGGAATGCAGGATTTCCATCCTTTTTAAATGTGCTTAGTATTTCAACAAGACTTTGTCATCTTGCTCAATTCTGTCCACACTTACTGGAGAGCCAAATACTCACCTCATCAGTAAGAAACTCCTTACTTAGCCCAAAGTCTGTCAGCACCACATGGCCATCAGAATCAAGGAGAATATTCTCAAGTTTTATATCCCGATATATAATCCCCAACTGCAAACAGAATATAAGAAAAAGTATTTCAAAATAGTGTCACCACATCAAGAAGATATTGCTGAATGTTTTTAAATATAAAGATACCAAAATTCACATTATTAAGGTAATCTGACACATGAAAGTTGCACCTCAAAAAAGACAATTTTTAAAGCCCTTGAAGAAATAACTAAAATTACATTTAAAATCCTAGAAATTACACTGTGCATTAATGTCTTAAAATTTCAAAGACATACTGTATTCCCCTTGAATCTAAAAGTAAACAAATACTTGCTGTTGAGTGCAAAACTCAGTTCTCCTTTCATTAAGAAAATGGATCCTTCTGTTATACAGTCTAGACACAGACCACACACGCATGCTTTGTAATAGTCTACAAATCTGCTTACCACTTCTGAGAACTGTAACACTTTTCATGTCTACAGCTGTGCTAGAACTCTATTACTCAGTTGTGTAGAAACAAGGAAAACCAAACATTTCAACCCAAAACTTGTTCATGTTCACAACAAATTAGTTTTGGTGACATATATTGGTTCACAAGGATTACTAGAAATGAACAAATCATTTGTCAACAACATTCCTCTTCACCCTGCAGGCAAAAAATTGTGGCCTTAATCTAGTGCACGAGAAGGGACACTTCATTGGGGGTTATTTCTAATTATACAACTAATATCCCATTGCAAGACAAAGTTACTTTCATTTTAAAACTATCTAAAACAATAGCTCTCCTTATTAACTTTATATGATACCGAAAGAATACAGCTGTAAGTCCTCAAAAGCAGCACCAGAGTAAAGTCATTTTACCTTGTGGAGATGTTCAAGTGCCAAAACGATTTCTCCAATGTAAATTTGCACCTCATTTTCTGAGAATCTCTCTCTGTGTGAAAGATGAGTAAACAATTCTCCTCCATTTATATAGTCTAAAAAATAGAGCACAGAACCTTATAATTTCACTTTTTGACAATTTCATTTTCTTATTGAAATATTATTAAGTACTTTGTAAGCTATTTAGTAACACATTCTACTATCAGATGCTTTTCCTTAATTGTAATTCACTAGTATTTCATCATGCTGTACAATATTCAATTTCTTTCTTAGAGAACTGAAGGAAGAACAAGACCCACTTATAAATAAGCATCAAAACCATAAAATAAGCCTCAACTATTTCTAACTTATAAAGATGGGTTTTTCCACAAAATCAGTCATTTAGTTATTTAGGAATATGAAAAGAAAGAAGCACAAATCATATCTACAAACAGAACCCCTGTAGACTCTTATGAAATACTCTGATGAGCAACAAGGCAGGCTGACACAAAGAAAAGCAATTCAGAAAACAGGTATTAGGGGAAATAATCAATTTATCGACAGACAATTACAAAATTTCCCTTCAGAAGGGAAACCTTGATGGCAAAATTCACTGCAGGAGATTATTTCCACATACACTCCCTCATGGAAACCACACTTTCATTCTTTGCAGGCTATGACACAAGGATTTTCCCACAGTAAGGGAGAGGGAAAAAAATTATTACAACAGAGCTCCACTGTAACAGAAACATATTTTAGATACAGAGCTGTTTATGATAGCAGTGTACATTACAGCCAATAATTTGCAATCTCACAGCTGCCATTATTGTATTTGAGGTCTACATACACAGAGCAGGGAACAGGCCCCACAAAATCTTCCTCAGTATTTTCTTGAATGTTGCTTCTGTAGATTTGTTGGTATAAAACACAAATCCATAAAAGGCATCCAATCCTATTTTAATTTAATAGTTGGAAGGAGAAAGCATATATACAAATTATACATATTCTGATCTCTCTCCACTTTTCAGTTCTCCAGTTCTCTCTTTGAAAAGGAATATTAGTGGAATCAAACAACATGAGAAGGATTATTTATCTAGACCAGCAAGCAAATTAGAAAGACTGAATGAAGTATAAATAACCTACATTTTAGAATTGCTTCCTTCTTCTAAAAAAACTTCAACACATAGAAAAAGGTAACAGAAAACAAGTTTTTAAAATATTTCTAGCCAGATCTGCTAACTTAGTACAAGGGAAGCATTGAATTGCCATTAAATTATCCTAAGGACTGAGACAGATCCAAACCAAAGCTGCCACAAGGAGTGGCAGAACAAGCTAAATTCTATCCAGGTTGTACACTAACCACAGCCCAATGAAACAAACAGCCTTCAAATTATTGGTGCAAGATCAAATGCATCACTGGCATAACAGAAAAAAAAAATCCTAGTTACTTCAGATAAACTCCACCTGACAGTTCAGATTATTTAGCTATTTTTAAAGGATTAGATGTTTAACCTTGTTTGACAATTTTGTATAGAATTGATGGTACTCACATGGATACAACACTTGGTTCGTTTAAAGCCAACATAAAAATTGGAATCAACTCCCAACTCTGTTTTCTGGAAATCTGGCAGAAATGCAGCTGCATGTCTGTACGTGATTCAGTCTAAAGTCATATAGCTATGTAATCTGACAGCATGAAGAACTGTACTAAATACTGCACTGAGGCTCCAATTCTAAGACCTCTAAGAACTAAAATGGCAGCTAGCTCGCACACTAAATTCAGCCAAGAACAAAAATTAGACCAATACTGGTTTCCCCCAAAATCCAGAAGCCTCTGAAACACTAATTCCTAGACTAAATTAAAGTGATTTACACAGACTTACATAAGACACAAAAAACTTGTAACAAACAGTTTGGGTTTTTTCCTGTCAGGGAGGGTGTGAAGCTCAGTTGATTTATAAAGTAGCCTTACACCACATTAAGGAGGAGAAATTTTCCCTGTTATAGAACGTCATTAAAAGTATAATAATCATTCCTACTTTCTGCTGAAAATGAAGGAAAAAAAAGACTTTTCTGGCCCAAACAGATATGCTGAGAATGGATGAAAAAGAAAAAAAATCAAAACAAAAGACTGTAATTATATCTTAGTTATGAACTTCTTGCTTCAACCATCACCTCAACATTGCTATACAGCGGACACGGACACGCGCCCTGTCTGCTACACAGAGTTCCGCACAACTACTGGGCTTGCTCCTTTTTGCCTCTTATGAGAATATAATACCAAGCTTTTAATTTTCTTTCATACAAGAGGCTTTTATAGCCTTCTAATTATGTTTACCACCTAAACTTCCTCCCTACTATGTATTTATTTTTAGGCAAATACATCTATCTCAGGTTTCAGGGCGTTTTGTTGTTTGGGTTTCCTCTCTATTTTTTAATATTTCTTATGGGATATAAGGTGCATTTGGGTAAAAAATACCTGGACTTAAAGAATGGTTCCATAATATTTATAATACATGTTCACATTTTCTCTCATTTAATCTCTCAATTTTTTCCAAATTGTTAGTCAATAACCTTAAATCCAATATAAATTTCAAAACCTTAATTTTTAACAGTTACTCTCAAGATATCACAAAGCTATCAATATATTTCTAACTATTTATTTGTGACAATCTTTTATTTATTTCTTTAATATCCTAGTCAGAGGAATTTACAAGAAACTATAACACAATTTTCAACTCTCATTTTCAGAAGGAGTTTAGTGAACACTCCATTTCAGCTCTACATATTTATTATTTAATGGTAGTATATGAAACTAAGGTATGTGCATAGACCTTTTTAAGAATTGACAGCTAGAGGTGTATATTCATTTAATGTTAAAAAAGTTTTTGCTAATTTGATGTTAATCAGACTGTTAATAAAGGTTAAAAAATTGAAGTTATGGATAAAAAGGAATGCAAAACTTGCACTTCAATTAAAAGAACTTACTTCCTCAAACAGTACACTAAAGAAGCATATTATGAAACCAAGCCTTAAATTAATCCTTCATTTCACAATTCTTTTAAAATACTCTATGTAAAAAGGTTTAAAAAATTGCTGGCAATTTTCTTACAAATATAACTCATACACCAAACACTAACATTTGCAGCTAATCTGAAAGGCAAAAATATTTCTAAAATTAGACTAGTACCAAACCTTATGAACAAGCTCCACTTCCAGCACAGAAATGTGTGATTTTGGACTGTCTCTTAGCACCCAAAAATTGAAATATGCAGGTATCTCAATACTCAAAGATGTAATTATCGCAAAACATTAACAAAAGCAAATGCTTCCAGGTGATTGATGAATACTCTTAAACATTTTTTGCTGCATGTAAGTCACAGATAACCACTATCCCCTCCAAGTCAAAGTAGCACACTCAAGCTCAAACAGGAAAACCACAAACACAGACACTGCTGAAGATTAACAGTATTTTACTTCCTATGCTTTCTCATGCAATCTCCAAACACACTGTACTTTAGACCACATTAAAAAAACCTTACAAAACATTGAGATAAAAGGGCTTTTTTTCTTTTTTTTTTTCATAGAACTTGAATCCTGAAGAGTACTCACCTAAAATGAGATGAAGCTTTGTATCTGTCTGGAAGGCATAATGTAAGGTGACCAAGAACGGTGATTGCCTAATGTGCTCCAGGACTTGTCGCTCTGTCCTTGTGTGCTCAGTTGTTTTGGCTTTTTGAACTATTGTTGCTTTCTTCAATACTTTCATGGCATACAGTTTCCCAGCATCGTGGCCGCTTACTTTCCTCACTAGGAATACTTTTCCATAGGCTTCAAAATTGGGGAGAAAAAAATCCCAAAAACAAAGAAAAGAAAAGAAAGAAAAAAAGAGACAAAAACCACAAGTTACCTACTTGTACTACAGATCTGGCCGATGCCATTATTACTTTCAAATACTCATTGTTATGGCAGACAGTAATCACTCAGGCTAAAACTCTACTAAAACACTTTTCCTCTTTCAGATTGACCTCTTCTGAGCAAAATTTCAAACAAATGAGCTTCATAAGTGAACACTGCAAGAGCGGGAAAAGCAATTGAACTTCTTCAGTATTAAAAAACAATTTTAAAAGCTGATGATTTTGTCCTTTGTAATAACCTAAAACATCCATACCTAGAATTAAGCAAGACTTCCAAGTAAGAGATGCTATTTTTTGTTCTTAAAATAGTCTGCTCATATTTGCACAACTTATATACTTTCATTCTGGTTTTATAACACTGAAGTTACAAAAACCCATAGAAAAGGCAATGAATTCTTCCCATCAGTATTTCATACATAGGAGCTTTCTGAGGCTCTCATACTGGACTTAAAAGAACTCCTGGGAATTCTACATAAATAAATTTTTTATCTTTACCAGGCAAACCTGTAGAAACAGTAAAGGTTAAAATTAGTGTGCAGTTCCTGGGCCATGATCTCACTGCAATTACAGAGATATGGTGGGGTATCTTGCATAACTGGAATACTGTCATGGATGGCTGCAGACTTTTTAGCAAAGAGGCCAGACAGGCAAGGTGGTGGAGTTCTCTTTTTGTAAGCAAAATGGATCAAGCAACCAAAATGTATCCAGCTTTGCCTAGGAGTGGATGAAGGAGGAGCCAAGAATTTGGGGATAAGAATTCAGGGACAGGCTAAAATGGGTGTTACTGTTATGGGTGTTTACTACAGGCCAACTGATTAGTTAGAGGAAGTAGATGAGGCCTTCCACAGACAGCTGTCACAGCTGTCACCATCACAGGCCCACAGTTCTCATGAGCACCCCTACAGCTGCTGGAAAGGCATTGTAGCTTGGCACGCAGGAGCCCAGGAGGTTCCTGCAGAGCACCGGGAATTTTGACATAGGTGGTGGGAAGCCCACAGGGAGAGATGTGTTGCTGGACCATGTATTAAGAAACAAAAATGGACAGGTTGGGGATGCAATAGCTAGAGGCAGCCTTGACTGCAGTGTTCATGAGATGGTGGAGTTCAGGATTCTGCATGGAAGAAGCATGGCAGTAAGTAGGATTATAGCCCTGGACTTCAGGAAAAATAACTGGCACCAATCCTCAAGGGCCTGCTTGGAGGAATCTCATAAGTTAGGTCTCTAGAAGGTAGGGTGGGTCCAAGAGAGATGCTGAATATTCAAGTAGCATTTCCCTCTATGTTTAAGATCAGGACATCCCTGTGAATAAGACATTAAGCAAAGGGAGGGGCTTGAGACCTGAATGGATGGGCAGGCACTTCTGGCAAAAATCAGACAGAATAAGGAAGTTTACAGAATGTGGGAAAAGGGTCAGGCTACTTAGAAGAATACGGGAATATTGTCAGAGTATTGCAGCTATGTGTCAGGGAAAGCAAAGGTCCACTTGGAATTAAATCTGGCAAAGGATACCAAGGACAAGAGGGGCTTCTTCAAGGATATCAGTAGCAAAATGAAGACTTGGGCAAATGTGGGCCCACTGCCCAATGAAGTAGGTGCCCTGGTGACAAAAGGTACAGAGAAAGCAGAGTTACTGAACACCTTTGCGTTTTACTCACTGCTAAGGCTGGCCCTCGGGAATCCCAGGCCCTGGGGGCTTTCCCTTAGTTGAAGATAGGGTTAAGCAAACTTGGCACCCACAAATTCATGAGCCCTGGAGGGATTCACCCATGAGTGCTGAGGGATTTAGCAGATGTTAGTGTTAGACCACTCTACATCATCTTTGAAAGGTCATGGAGAGCAGGAAAGGCTCCTGAGGACTGAAGAAAAGCCAATAACACACCAGTCTTCAAAAGGGGCAAGAAAGAAGATCCAGGAAACTGTGGCCAAGTAGCCTCACCTTCATCCCTGGAAAGGTGATAGAACATCTATGTATGCGTGTGGAGGAAAAGAAGGTTATCAGGAATAGTAAACATGGATGCACCAAGGGGAAACCAGGCTTGAACAATCTGGCATCCTTCCATGAAGAATGAGATATGAAGATGATTAGAGAACTGGAGTATTTCCTACATGAAATAAGAAGAAGCCTGTTTCTTCTCTTTAGCCTGGAGAAGACAGAGGGGAATCTCATCAGTGTGAACAAATATCTTATGGACAGGTGTCAGGAGGATGGGGCCACACTCCTTTCAGTAGTGCTCAGCAAGAGGGTAAGAGGCAACCCACACAAACTGGAAACATGAAGTTCTGTAAGAATATGAGGACAAACTTCTTTGAGGGTGACAGAACACTGGGATGGGCTACCTGGAAAGGCTGTGGATTCTCCAACTCTGGAGCCATTCAAAACCCTCCTGCGCATAATTCCATGCATGGGTTAACCTGCTTTAGCAAAGGGGCTGGACCAGGTGGCCTCCAGTGGTCCCTTCCAACCCCAACCATCCTGTGATTCTGCAGTAGACACAACAGGACATTCTGTGAAAGAATGAGTGTTACTTTTGTAGATGGCAATAGTCATTGCTCAAAGAATCAGGAGAAAGGAACTGTGAAACCGTTGACTTCTTTAGATCAAGATACTTAACAAGTTCTTTTACAAAAAAGGTCTTTAAAACACTAAAAGGTTATGAGTGCAAAGGGGGCAATCCTCTCAAAAATTGAGAGCTATTAGAAGACAAAAAGCTAAAAGCTAAAATTCAGCTTTTTCAGAGACAGCAAGTCACCACTAGAATTAATCCTGCCTGATGCAGTCATATATGAACAAGTGAGGAAAAGAATTTGCTTGTTTTAGTAAATCATCCAATGCAACAGAAATCGAAGCTGACTGCTAAAAACTCTACCACAGTATCAAAATGCCAAGTAGATGAAAAAATAAAATGGCAGAGAAAATTTCAAATAGTAAACACATAATCCATGTGAAATAATATAACAGCACATAGTGTTAGAACTGAGGAGAGAAAAACAGCTGAAGTTACCGAAGACCACCCCAAAGAGAATGTTATAAACTTCAAGGAAAGTACTGAAGAAATTACACAAGCGTACCCACACCTTCAACACAAAGCCAGAAATCCCTTATGCTGTGGTAGAAATCTTTGTGTGCTCCTATCTTGAATGAAGCACACTGTTTTGGTACCTTCTCTCTTCTGTCCCCAACTATCTTGCTCCCATCAGAAAAAAAAAAAATAATTATAAAACATTAGGAAAGTATAAAACAACTCTTCTAAACAGGAATGGCACTAAACATACTGCCATGTTTTATTTAGCCTGAGAAAGTAGAGTACTTGGGAAGATTTTTACAGAGAATTAAAGAAGAAAAAAATCAAAAACTTGGTAAAGAACAAATTTTCATTATTTTTAGAGACAAAATAACTAAGGCAACAAGTTAAATCATTAGGTATCAGCATTAAAAACTATGCAAAGCACACAAACAACTATGCAGTTGAGCTGTAGAACTACTGTTACATGATACTGCAGCTGTCAAAAATGCAGATGAATTTTAAGATTACATAACTCCCTGAGGGAGAGGAAAGCACAGCAAATGTTGCCAAACTCTAAAGAGAATCTCTGGCTCAGGCAGACCCCAAAGTGTAGGTTGCTACCAGCTCACTAAGGAAACCATCACTGTAAGCCTCCCCTTAAGCCATCATGAGACAGAAAAACTAACCAGCTCATTGTTTTGTCCAACCCTTGTAATTACCTTCACACTACTTTCTCAAAGAGAATGCTCAAATATCTCAAACCTGAAAATACACTGGACAAGTGTATACAGTCCTGACGTGAGACACTCAAATTTAGGTGGCCCTTAAAAAGCTATAGCATACAGAGCTCCCAGTAAGCATCACGTGTAACTCCAGATTTCTTTCTGGATTTTTCTCCAGATGGGTAATTTAGAGTTTTTAACTACCAAATGACATGTGAGCTTTTTTCCTAGATCTGAGTTCTACTTCAGTGAGTACACAGATATGATTCTGCTCATATACTGAACAATTCTTTTTAAGGAGTTCTTTACCTGACTCATTGTACCCTAAGGAATCATGCTTCCCTTCTTTACAGAACGAATTATCTGCAAAAAGAGCTTTCATAAAATAAGTTTTCATAACACATCTCTCAAGAATGGCAAATAGAGTCAGAATAGGTGACATCTTTCTATTTTGTGAGATATGCAGGACAGTCTCTTTCAAGATTTTGTATTGCATTCTCCAACTTTGCAGTTACAAGATCTCAAGCATAAGTAAGCCAGACTGAATGGTCATCAGCTACTCATCACCAGGGAACAGGAATTTTATCACAAATGTTGGAGAACATTAAGTTAAACTAAATGAACAAAAGGCTCACGACTCTAACACTCAGTTACCTGTATCTTTAATCACATTTTATAAAAACATATAATAACACATCTTAGGTGAGAGAATGCAGTACCTACTACAGCTTTTCATGCAGTATCAGAGAAAATAATCTGGTAACAACTCTAAGAATCTCTAGAAACTATACTTTTATTGCCATAAAGAACTTTGCCATGGTACAAATTGTTTCTTCAGGAATCTGACAAGGACTGACAGAATGATGACGATTCTCAGCATTTTTTATGAGAACAAATCTTAAGTAGCACTATTTTAATCAAATGACTCATAATATATCCAACACCAGAATCTCTGATAGCACCACAAGAAATCTACTTAAAAGACAACACTGCAAAAGCTATTTATTTGAGTGGCAGCAAGAAGAGAGCAGATAAGCTAATTGCAATACTCTCACCTGAAATTGTACTTCAGTAAAGCTTTTTTCATTTCTCAAAGAGCAACATTTTAATGTTAATTCTCATAATGAACATTCCCATAATGTTCATTCTCACGCACATCTGATCTACTGCCCAGGCAGAAGTATTCA